TGCCTTAGACCCTGTTGCAGCAGGACTTCCACCCTGTCTCCAATCTGTAGCTGCTGCTGCCCTGCTTGTTGAAAAGGCTGATTCCTTGGTTCTTGGACATCCATTAACTGTTGCTATTCCCCATGCTGTTATGGCCCTACTCCTGAAAGGCAAAACACAACATATTTCTAACTCCCGACTTACCAAATATGAAAAACTTCTTCTTTCAGCTGCCAATGTAACTTTAACACGCTGCTCTATCCTGAATCCTGCTTCCCTACTTCCTACCCCATCAGATGGAGAACCTCATGATTGCTTAACTGTAACTACCCAGCTTTTGACTCCTCGTATCGATCTTAAAGATACACCACTACAGAACCCAGATCTCCTACTATATGTAGATGGCTCCTGCCTTAGAAACTCCAAGGGACAGCTCACTGCTGGCTATGCAGTCTGTGATCAACACCAAGTTTTAGAAGCTTACCAGTTGCCTCATGCCCGCTCTGCTCAAGTGGCTGAACTGGTAGCCCTCACTCGAGCATGTACCTTGGCTAAGGGTCAATCTGCCACCATCTACACTGATTCCAGATATGCCTTCGGTGTTGTACATGACTTTGGTCAACTTTGGAAACAAAGAGGATTCCTTACTTCGGCTGGGACTCAGATTAGTAATGGTTCTTATGTTGATGTTCTTTTGCATGCTCTCCTATTGCCTTCTGCTATTGCTATTGTTACATGTAAAGCCCATGAAATCCCTAATGATGATGTCACACGCGGAAATGCCCTAGCTGACCATGCGGCTAGGAATGCAGCCCTTTCTGGCCCTCAGGCTCCTAATGATATTTTTGTTTGCCTTTTAGCAGACCAGTCTCCGTTGGCTAATCTCTCCAACTTGGCCCTACTCCAAGACCAGGCTCCAAAATTTGAGAAGGAGGACTGGCTGCGTAAAGGATGTCAGTTGCATCCTGACTCCTTGTGGCGCTCCCCGGACGGCCGCCTGGTGGTGCTCAAGGCTTTGCTACCTTACCTTGCTTGTCTGGCTCACTCGGTGGCCCATACGAGCAAAGGGGGGATGATTGCGACAGTACAGCGCGATTGGTTTGCCCCAAATTTTCCCTCTATGGCACAGCAGTACTGTAGCACTTGTACCATTTGCCTTGCCCATAACATCGGTCAGAAGGTTAAAACTAGACAAGCAGCACACCCCCCACCATGGGGACCTTTTGTAAATTTGCAAATGGACTTTGTTCAAATGCCAAAATGTTGTTCTTTTGAATATATTCTTGTCATTATTGATATGTACTCTGGTTGGGTAGAAGCTTATCCTTGTAAACATGCAGACTCCACCACTGTAGCAAAGAAACTTTTGAAAGAATTCATCCCCAGATTTGGCCTGCCACTCACGCTAGACAGCGACCGAGGAACACACTTTACAGGGCAGATTGTTAGAAACATCTGTAAGGCCCTGAACATACACCAGCACCTGCACTGTGCCTACCATCCCCAATCCAGTAGTGCAGTAGAGCGAAAACACTCTGACTTAAAAACACGCCTGTCTAAAATTTGTGCTGAAACTAACTTGAAATGGCCAGATGCAT